CGCAGTATCGATCGTAGCACTTGTGATTTCTGTGACCCGAAATCGCGCGAAACCTGCGACGGATCGCGGACTCTGACACTAGCCTAAGACGAAATATAATTTTTAACGCTAACATTGTGAACGTAGCCTCTCGCATTGGAACCTTCCAATAAATACGTTTTCAACAAGGTTGCGCGTAAATTCCGAAATCGTTCAAATTTGTGCATAAAGTATGTCCAAAGGAGGCAGTCAGTCCCTCAATCGTGTGTAAATTGTGAGGAATCTAGAAATCTGGGTTCGCGACCCAGAATGCAGAATTCTTCTTCGCATATCATTCTCAGAGCGACGGTATTATACATTTGCTCACAGCCTAGTTCGTATTCCTCTCATAGAAGCGCAAAATCAAGTGAGGAGAAAATAAAGAAGTACGGCAAAATAATAGAACTACAAAAAACACTGGAGCAGTTCCATGCAACAATGCGAAATTTTGCTCCGATCATTATGGATACGGTAGCCTCCTCTCCAAAACCGCGACGCACCGTCACGCGCGCGGCAGATGTACGATCATTTCTTTATATACCCATGGTCGAAATTTGCACAATAGCTGGCCAGCAATTAAAAAATGTTTACAGCATACTAGAAGAGTAGCATGCATTCAACTGGTTAACCAATCTGATCACCGCCTTTCCGCCTGGAGAGTTCCCACCTACACTTGTTGACAAATTAACTGATACATGCATGCATGCACGACAAAATACAGGGTGGACAATAATTACGGTAACAAAATAAAGTGAGCATGAGAAATCGAAGGAAGGAAGGAAGTCACAAGTGGACAACAAAAAAATGTTAATGGGAAATTACTAACAGAATACAACATTACTTCCTGGAATGGACGCTGACTGCATCAGCAGCACACTCGTTAGAATTTGGGACGCAGGCTGGATAAAACATGGTAGAGCTCGGAATTAAGCACAGATTTGAAAAAAAAAACTTATTTAAGACTTTCTATCTACGTACAACACTTCCAAGCCGTTTGAATTGGTTGCATGGTTCGAAAGACTGAATGACTAACACCGAAGTGGGCGGTGCTAGAACCAAAAATTCATAGAAGAACTCCGAGACGGCTTAGAGATCTGAGAAAGGTGGGTAGAATTAATAAGAGAAGCAGAGGTCAAATGTTAGTGCTGAGCAGGGTTGTTACAAGGCTTCTGTCAACCAAAAGGTGATACTGTGGATAGAAAGCGTACACTTTGTGCAGTATTAGGGCTAAGCCTTTTGGAGGCACTTTGGAAAGCAGAAATGCCATAATAGCATGCATTTGTGAGAGCTTCCAGACAAGACGTTGAGTTGCCCACCCTGACGGTTGACAGTAGTCCTGAGACCGTAGAAGTGGGCGGGGCTAACATAAAAACCCTGGTCCTATTTTTCCAGCGTGTGAAAATGGTCATCTACAATCGTAAAACTTCATGGGTTGACGAAAACTCGATGTACTCTGAACGAGTTAGACTAAGAAGTGATATGGTAGCATAACAGTATGTGTCAGAAAAGTCCACATTTTTTCGCAGTCAGTCATTGGAAATTTTATCGCGTTTTCGATTGCAAGGGAACAGGGATGAACTAGCTAAAGGAGCGGGAGCAGTAGTTGAAGAAGTGGCACCAAGATGGCCGACGGGAATGTCTTGACACGTCCTATCTCCGATCAGATGGCTTTTATGGCACTCAATCACTTGTCGAGTCCATTCATGCGGGAGTGCGTACATCTTAACTTGTCACGTGTTATACATACGTGAACGCTTTAGTTGAGCTGATGGGTCTCATAGTATTAGTCTACAAGTACTATGAAGCAATTCAGTAATGGCTACTAACGAGTTGACGTGAGTGCAGTAAGCGCATCACATAGCCATACACAACAAATGAGCCGTGAAGAATCGAGAAAGGAGTACACTTCCGTGCAGGCGATGACTCAGATATCACACTGATAGCAGAAGGATAGAGAGTAAGCAATTAGGTTGATCAGTAGTATTTTTGGGATGCGCCAATGATTCTACTCATTCGCCAATATGTCAGCCAGCCTTTTGGACAAATATTGGCCATGGCAATGATTTCAATGGTTAGCGGGGCTAGCCTATTACAGTTCCTGCATTTTTCGTCACACAAAGTCAGTACAATCGAGAGACTCTGAGAATAAAGGCTTCATTGGCTACGCCTTTATCATTTACCCTCGGTACACGATACACTATGTTCATGAAACGTATTATGACAATGAAACTCGAAAGAAAATGTTTATGGAAAACTCGAAAGGAATAATTATAAGAAAAAAAAAGAAAAAAAAATGCAATCGGCGGCATTGATAGAGCTCCTAGCTTTGAGCCACGCACTTTAGCTCCTTTTAGAATCTAATAGGATGGGATTGAATTGTGTGTTTAGTCAATGCAATGCTATACTTCATATGCCACAAAAAAGAATATAGCTCAACCTTACTGCCAGGGAATCGCCACATGCTTCAAGGGCGGAATGACGACAAAAAGGGAGCCTCATTGAAAAAAAAGAGGTGTTCACTGATTCCCAGATGAAGAAAAAAACATCAGAACTGGCCCAGGGTACGAGAAATGGGCCCCTCCTTGGCCCGCTGATTTCTGCCATTCATGCGACTCTCATCGGTGCTGCCCTCTTTGACGCTAACGCTCTCATGCTAAGCCTAGGGACTCAGACGCAGAGCAACGGCCTGCGTTGCGCAGAATCGCAAGCGTTGCGCAGCTTCGCAACGGCAGTTGAGAGATACGAAGTTAGCGGCGAGTGTGAATGTTCGCGCGAGAGAACGTGTCTAATCGGGCGAAACTGCGCAACGTGGCCGTTGAGAACTGCGCAACGCAGGGTTGACTCTGCTTAGACGACGGGAGTGGACGTGACGCGCGCTTGCGACGCTGGGACGGCCATACTACAGGATGGGCCAAGTTATGAGAGCAAGACATGCGTCGTTAAAACACATAGTACATGATTGGATGCCAGAATCAGGGAAGTGTTTGTAACTCTTATCTCAAAGTAATTCTAGAATAGAAATGATCTGAGATCTGCCACCTCCTTCCGTTTACACGAGCCTTCAGAATGAAGGGGATGGCGCGTGCGTTTGGCACGCAACTGAGGCGTGCCCAAATGTTTCCAGGCCTTCTGCTCCGCTTTCTTCCAAGATCTACTTTTGTGGCAATTCATTTACGGCCTTGCTTTCTGTGAAATACAGAAATCTAGAGCTATCAGGTGGAAGGTTCCATTGTAACAATTCTTCGAAAGCAAAGAACTCAAAAAATCGCTTTTTGGAGAATTTTTGCTTTATTTTTGGATGCTCGTTCCTGTAAGAAGTCTCAAGTAGACTACCAAGTGGCTCTCTTACCACTTCGTATAGCATACATTATACGAAGTTATACTAGGTACGAAAGTCGACAAGGGGAGAGCCTAGTTTCTGCATCTGATAATTATCCTGGTGGTAACTGTAACTTTCGAGTCCCCGAATTTTCCATCTGTGGTGGTTCCAAACTTATTGAAGAGTTGAACTGTTGCTCATAAGAGCTTCCCTGATACGTTAGACTGCCGCTAGATGTAACGTGCCAGAGCCCCTAGTGAGTTCAATTTGAGGACTGACGTAAGGTGAAGTAGTTATTTCACTAGTTTTGAGAACTGCATGAAATTTGGTTTCATTAGGAAGAAGACATTGTACCCTCTCACATAGTGCACAGAAAGGAGATAATGGAGGGACTCGGAAGCAGTGTCAACCGTGCGTTGGACAAAGTCCAACGAGGGGTGGGGAGGGGGTCGTATTTGGTTAAGTAGTGGAATATTACGGTCGTATTTTGCGAGGTAGCGTTAATGTTACAGTAAGGGAAGTGATGATGCAGTTGGTTGGCGCGCTAAAATTTTGCTGTTTCACGGTGCGTATAAGCCCCTCTAGAAAATGTTGGCGAAATAGAGGGAAAGTGAGAGGATACCTGCGGTTAAGGAGTTTGGGCTGTGTCGACTGGTTTCAGAATCGAATAACTAATACTAGGGTTGACCCTGAGAGGGGGGGGGTCGTATCGAGGCCCTCTAGAAGGGGGAGGGGGTCGTAAAATTTTCGAAATTGGTCCAACGTGACGGTTGACCCTGCTCGGAAGAAAGTGGATATGACCGCGCGCACATGTAGTCCTCATAATTTTGGCCCACCCTGTATATCGAGAAGGCATATCCTTTGTTCGGCTGTCTTTTCACTGGGTAGATTGCCCTTGTTCGACCTCCAATCTTACACTAGGATCTTCCTTTAGTGGATCTCCTTTATCATTCAGCGGCATAAAATTCCAGCAGAGCAGTGGTGCTGCTTGACAAGAAAGCATACATTGTAACACAAGAGAGAGAAACGGTCATGGAGTTACTTACACAAGCATAGCGCAGTTATAAATATCGACAATGGCCCAAGGATTCATGCCAACGGTGTAATTGATTCATATTCCATGTTCCGTGATCAGAAAAACCATTTTTTCATACATTCCCCTAGGTCTGTTTACTGAAATCCAGCAAAGGCCGTCGCGACATCGTGAGCTGGCCGGCACGGCTCTGACCATCGCCGCGCATAAGTCGACGCGAACCCAGAACCCAGCACGGGGATGAGTTCTAAGAGGATATGAGGCAACAGGACAGTGCGCGAGTGGCCCCTTGCACTCTAATGTCCATGTAGAATGTGGGGTCTTGCATCGTGTCCTCAAGAGGAAAACATTAGACTGCAAGATGGGCTACATCGCGCTCCCTCCTATTGACCCACTTCCTCAGAGAGCACACTGCTGCGCCCTGGCCTGTACATGAGAGAATAAAAAGTCCTTGAAGGTTTATGAGTCGAGGAATGCAGGTCTAGACAGGAGATTCTATCTGCAATTTGACGGAGAAGGGAAATGAAGCATTTCCTCAGAAATTTGCCTCGTCAGCAGAAGGGACTCCCACCTGCTGATGAAGATGGCTTTGCACTGTTGCAGGAAGTAACAATAAGCAACTGATCAATTTTGAGCGTGAATTGGAGTTTCATTAGACACGTAAAAGCAGCCACATGATGCTAGAGCCAGTTGGAGTGTACTGAATGCCACATCGTAGATCGGGGATTCCCAGAGTTTATCTCAGATTTGGACTAAACCTCAAGAACGAAAATAGCATCCACTGCGTAAGCAGTGATGTTATTCCCTGGAAAATTCTCCAGTTGATGATATGAATTCTTTCAATTGACATGTTGGAATTAACCACTATTACTAGAAAGGTTACTTAGAAGGGTACACGCGGGGGAAAACCTTACTGTCTCTTCCTCAACAAAGTCAACAGCTGTAATTCAAAAACTCATTGCGCGTTTTTATAGCGGAAACGCGGGAACACGGCGCAACCACGAAACAGTAGGTGCTAGTTGACTTGGCAAACAAGGAGAAGGGAAAAAAGCTAGCAAAATAGTGAAAAGAAGACTCCACTTTTTGAAGAGGTGGTGGGGTCTAAGAGACAAGAAGGGTCAGAAAGATTTGGCGCCGAGACGGGGGCGGCGAGAAGGCAGAGACGCAGACGGGTATACGGACGAGTCGCAGCGCGCACTGCATTATTTTCGCGTCAGGTTAAACAGAATGTACTATAGCACGTCCCACATCACACAGCACGCATAAAGGAATCGAACAGGAGGCCCGTCGCGCGGCAAAAAGGCAGAGTCAGGGGACGAGTTGCAGCGCGTGATGTGCGATGTAGGACGTACAATGGTACATTCTATTTAACTTGACGCGAAATCCTACAGTACGCGCTGCGACTCGTCCGCTGACTCCCCCTTGTTGCCGCGCGACGGGCCTCCTGTTGGATACCACGAGGCAAGAGAGCGACTCAGGAAGCCGAAAGTATGTGTGCGAGACATAACACAACCAAGGAAATGAACGGAGTCATGGAACGTGCTCTTATGCAAGTCGGAAGGCTCCAGAACTCTTTGCAGGCATTACGATTGCTGAAAGGGCGATGAGTGTGCGTACGATACTCATTAATGGCCTAGAAGGAGAGAGACCAGGCCTTTCTCCTTTTTTAATCACTCTCGCTTGAAGTTCCCTAAATAACTTAAGAACAGCTTGAGTTAGGTCACCTAAAGCATTAGAGGGCAAGTTTGATTCTGCTATGAGGAAGGGAACAGAAAGCAACTAGCGAGCGACTTTGAATCATAGTGTTCATACTTTCAAAGTGACAATCATGGAGTGGTTTGCTGGTTCCAAAGTAGCTACAAATGGCATCTCAACGGTAACCATTGAGTTATTATTAGTACTTATCGCTTATAAACCTTGGTTTTTACCATTGTATTAGTTGTTGTTGCCCCTTGTTTATCGGGCTCCTGCCCTGTTTTTATTGTGCAGCCTACAATTTGCTTAGTTACCAAGAACTACTTCGTCATAATGTCAGGTATGTTTACGCGTGAAAACATGGGGTTATTATGGAAGTACAATGGTGGACAAAAAAAGCTCTTGTCGCTCATTTGAGAAAGAATTCATCACTCTTTGCTCAACTCGGACTAGATGCGCTTTCTGGATATAAAACTGAAGCACGATCCTTGTTAAATTTCATGCACTCCATACCTTTACGAGGATTGGAAGACTTACAGGCCGGGTGCGATGACATCATACTCTGCTCGAAACTATAGACAAGTAGTGCGAAGGGGACATCAAGTGGAGAAAGAAGAAAGCATCATAGAAAACGCTGAACTCTCTTGTGAGACGACCGTGGTCGTACGAAGAGATACGGCGTTGCGGGGGAGGGATCGCGAGAGAGAGCAAAAACGAACGTTTCCAATCATCATTAAAAGGAATAGAAAACCTATTTCCCCTAACTCCGGTTGTATATGAGAACAATG